TGGAGCATCTGTAGGCCCTCTGACTTTTCCAGTTGCCTGAAGTCCAGCCAAGAACAACTTTACTACTTTGTTTATAAGTTTACATTACAGGCAGTAGAGGGGGCTAGAGAGACAGTATTAAATATGTAATAGGTTATATAGACTTAAAAGTGCCCTGGGAAACAAAGCAGGAGAGGAGGATTAAAAAACACTGGAAGGGGCTAGGGTTGTAGCTCAATGGTAGAGTGCTTGCCTAGTTTGTGTGAGGCACTGGGTTCAATCCTCAGCACCACATAAAAATAAATTAAAAAATAAAGATATGTGTCCATCTACAACTAAAGAATTAAAAAGAAAAGAAAAACATTGGGAAAAGAGAGGTTGAAATTTTAGATGGTGGGAGTCAAGGAAAATATGAATTTGGAGTGAAGGCCTAAAGTGAGTGAGGGTTCAAGCCATGTTGATACATGGAAAGAATCTTGTAGGCAATAGGAAAGAGCAAGTATAAAGACACTTGAAGTTAAGATCATGTCTGATGTCTTTAAAGGGAAAGCAAGTGGGCCAGTGTGTCCTGAGGACAGCAACAGAGAAGAGCAGCAGAACACAAAGCCAGAGAGGGAAGGGAAGGGAGATAACCAGATCATGGTTATGATTCCAAGATCATAAAAAGGACTCTAGTTCTTACCATGAGTAAGGAGGTAATTCACTGGAGGATTTTAAGCAAAGGAGTGACACAAAAACAGATTTATAATTTACAGTTTTATTCTTACTGCTGGGTTGAGGATACAGTGCCCAGGAGCAAGAGCAGAAGTAGGGACACCAAAATAATCTGAATGAGAGATAATGGTGCTTCAGACCAGACTGCCAACAGCAGTGGTGGTAAAAGGATTGAGCTCCAGATATATATTAAAGGTAAAAACATAAAATTTGCTGATGAACTGAATTGAGATGTAAAAGACATAGAAATAGAGGATTACATCATGGTTTTTGGCTTGAGGAACTGAAACAGTGGAGTTAGCATTGACTAAGAGGAAGAAGAAAGAGAAAGAGGCTGAAGGTCAGGAATGTGCTATGAGATGCATTAGTCTGAGATGGTTATCAGTCACGGCAAGTAGGCAGTTAGACAACGAGTTGGAGAGGTCCAGGCAGGAGACAGAAATCTGAGAATCCTAGCCTGTAGATGAATTTTAATACCACATGATTGGATAGGATCACATAGGGAGTGAACACAGATGAAAAGGAAAGAAATCTAAGGGCGGAGACTGGAATGTCATCAAATATTTAGTGGGTAGGATGATGAACCAGTCAACAGTCTAAGGTGGAAATACAAGGAATGCAGAAGGAAAACCGTGGCATCTTGGAAGCCAAATGAAGAAATCTTTTCAAGGAAAGAGAGTTGCCCAATTGTGTCAAAGTGCTGGTAACAGAGCACTGAAGATGGCAGTTGAGAAATGACCACTGGGTTGGCAATGTAGAATGTTATGGATTGAACTGTGTCTCCCTTGAAAAGGTATGTTGGAGTCCTAACCCCCATATATCAGAATATGACTTTATTTGAAATAGAGTTTATACAGATGGAATCAATATGAATGGTGACCTTAGAGGCAATCAATATGAATGGTGACCTTAGAGGGAATCAATATGAATGGTGACCTTAGAGGGAATCAATATGAATGGTACCTTCAAGAGGAGCATGGTCCTGCTGGAAACTTGATTTTGGAATTCTAGCTTTCAAAACTGTAGGAAAACACATTTCTTTTGTTTTAGCCATCTGGTCTGAGGTACTTTGTCACTGCAGCCCTAACAAATGAATACATGAAGGACATGGTAGATCAGAGAAGAGAAATATAATGGAATTGAAAGAGTCTGATTTAAATGGGATTCCAAAATAACAAAAGAGGGGAAGAAGACAGCATGGATAGTGAAACTTCTTAAGAAGTTTTTCTATAAAGGAAAAGAGAGAAATAATTCAGAAGGTAGGGAAACAAATGGCCTAAAATAGGGTTTTATCTTTTAATGAATTAATTTTTTTGAAGAGCCAAGGATTGAACCCAGGAACTAGCTAGCACCTGCTGGACAAGCGCTTTACCATTCAGCTACATCCCAGACCTTTTTATTTTTTTATTTTGAGACAGTGTCTTGCTAAATTGTCCAGAAGGCTGGCTTGAACTTATGATTCTCCTGCCTCAGCCTCCTGAGTAGCTGGTATTACAGGTGTGTGCAACTGTGCCCAGCAAGGTGCTTTGTTTTTTGCTTTAAATGGGAGAAATATTAGTATTTCAAATAATAGTAGAAATGATCCATTAGAGAATGAAGACTTGATTTTGCAGGACAGAGGGACAGAAGCTCAGGGAAATGCACTCGTACACTGGTGGAGAAACTGTCTTTAGTTGCCTCCAAGGATGGCTCATTCATGAATAACAAGAAAGGATGGAGCATAAAAGGATGGGTGCTGGGAGATGATGGTCTCCTCATATTCTCCTATTTCTCAATGAAGTAGGAAGCAAAGTCATCAAATGAAAGTGAGAATAAGGGAGGAGGTGTGGAGAGTTGGCAGTGAGGAGAAAAAGAAATAGCAATCTGGGAGTGTGGGAGAGAGAGAACTGGTTATAGTAAACGATTCTTTTCATCTGTTATTGAGCCTGATTTGGTACTCATGAATTAAAATTTTCTCACAAATATTTATAACAAGAATTGGTCTTAATTTTCTTTTTCAGGTTCTGTTGTTAATAAAAACCTCGATAATAAAAATAATAACTGCGATTACCGAGTCTTGTGCCAAGCACTGAGTAAAGCAGTTCTCCAAATCATCTCATTTAATCCTCCTAGCAACAAGGAAATCATATATTGTCCCCTTTTTGTAGAAGAGGAACTGAAGCTGGGGCTGAGGTCACAGTAAAGTGACATGGCTAAAGTCATAAAGCTAGTAAAGCAGAGTTGAGATTCAAACCAAAGTGTGTACTCCAAAATCGATGCTCTTAAGCGGTTCTTCTAACTTTATAAACTAGCTTTTATCTCATTCTATATTCTGTGACAGAATTTAGGGGATTATCTCTACATTGAAAAGCACAAAAACTTCAACAGGAGAAAGTTGCAAAAATGCAATATTCGAAGTGAAGAAATTACAAGAGGGGCTGGAATTGTAGCTCAATGGCAGAGTGCTTGCCTAGCACATGTGAGGCGCTGGGTTCCATCCTCAGCACCACATAATAAATAAATAAATAAATAGGGGCTGAGGTTGTGGCTCAGTGGTAGAGCACTTGCCTGGCATGTGTGAAGTACTGGCTTCAATTCTCAGCACCACATATAAATAAATAAAAAATCCACTGACAACTAAAAAAATGTTTAATGAATAAATAAAAGGAATGCTGTCTATCTACAACTACAAAATTTTTTTAAATATCTTTTTTTTAGCTGTAGATGGACACAATACCTTTATTTTGTTTATTTATTTTTATGTGGTGCTGAGGATGGAACCCAGTACCTTGCATGTGCAAGGCAAGTGCTCCACCGCTGAGTCATAACCCCAGTACCCCCCCAATTTTTTAAAATTACAATAAAATGGCTTGTTAATGAAATAAACATATTTCCATTCACATGTAGCTATTTCTACTAAAATCTAAGCCTTAAATTTAACAAACATTCTTAGGAAAATCTGTAACCTAATACTTTCTTCTCTCAATCTCCAATCTCATTCATCACCATATTCTGTCATTTTTGTCTCCAAATATATCATGAAACTGTCCTCTTTTTTTCCCACACCATTGCCCTAGGGTAGGCTGCTACTAGGTTAGTCTGGATGACTATAATTGCTTTCTGGTGACTCTTCTTAACTTTCTTTCTTATACCACTTGTACCCATTCTATACACAGCAGCTGGAGGTATCTATTTTCAAAATGTTTGGAGCGTTTACTGGTTTATAACACAATGCTGCCCAGCATTGGATTAATTGTTAAATATTCAGAAGTGCATAGTGCTTACACAGGGAAACCATCTCTCTGTTTTTTTTTTTTTTGTCCTGGGGATTGAACCCAAGGGCATTTTACCTCTGAGCTACATCCCTAGCACTATTTTTTTTCCTTTTCTTTTTTTGAGACAAGTTGTATTAAGCAACACTAAACTTTGAACTTGCCATCTTCCTTCCTCACCTCCTGAGTTGCTGGGGATTAAAGGTATGGGCCACCATGCCCCATGGAAACTACACTTTTTGAAAAACAGACTCTCAGATACAACATAGGATCCTACAAAAAGCCAAGTGGTTTTTAATTTGCCTAGGCTCCTCTTTTTCCTTTATGTGTCTCCAATGAAATGAAATTATTTTCCCAAACCAAGGTTCTCAATAGAAAAACTATTATGAAATCATTAATTCCAGTGGTTTCCATAATAGATCACACCAAGCCTCATTTTCTAGGGCATTCTCTAGCAAATACATCTGAGATATGTGCATCATGAGCACCCCAATATATTTACTCTCTCTGACTAATGTTTTCTCTCTAGGGCCTAGGATGTGAGTGGCTGACATTAAATGCTCAATAAATACTTGTTGAACATTAAATGTGTTGAACATTGTTAAATGAATATAATATTTGGTATTCTGTAGGAAAAATCTAAATTTTTTGAACAATAAACTAGATGCTTCAAAAGAGTGCTGCCATATTTAAATTTCGTAATGGTGATTTTCTTAAAGTGCGATTTTTAAGCTCTCTAAGGTACCGGTTTTCTTTTTCTTTTTTTTTTTTAATTCTTGCATGAGAATTGAACCAGGGGGCACTTAACCACTGAGTCACATCCCCAGCCCTTTTTATTTTTTATTTAGAGATGGGGTCTCTAATAAGGTTGAGTTGCTTAGCGCCTCACTAAATTGCAGGAGCTGGCTTTGAACTTGTCATCCTCCTGCCTCAGCTTCCCAAGCTACTGGGATTACAGGCATAAACCACTGGGCCCGGCACTTTTTCATTTCCAATTCTTTTCACTGATTATACATTTTCCCTTTCATCTAAAATGCCAGTTTTCTCAAAGTTTACCTTGTAGCATGACCAAAGACTGTCGAAGCCGGCTGTTTTCTTTCCGGGTGTTTGTTAGTTTTTCTTTCAGGTTTTTTATCTTGGCACATAATTCCTCCTTTGATAATTCTGCTAAGGGTGCTTCATCCTCACTGGAGCTCTCCCCAGGCAGAAAGGCATTTCCCGAATATGGATCTCTCTAAAATGCAAGGCAGGCACAAGAAGAGAAGTTTCACAGCTCCTTTAACGGTTTATCCTATGTTCTGTATTCTGAAGAGGTTCATTCAAGACTACACACTCCTGTTCCCACAGGCACTTCCTGCAACCATGCAGCCCAGCAGCTTTAAACCCCACCATTCAGAGGAACTCAGGATGAGGGGAAAACAGTGCCTCCGACAGCTTGGAAATCAGGATTCTAACTTTCTGTGTCATTTTAGTGAAAAATAAAAAGTAGAATAGTCGTATAACAGACTATAACCAATAAGAGCACCAGGTCTCCTCTGAGATGTGGCCTGTTTTGAGGCAAATACTTCACAATCTGGACCTCACTTCCTTCATCTGTGAATACATAGATAAAAATCATGCAATAACATGGGAAAATCTAGCAAGATGGCAGGATATACAATAGTTACTGCTTCTACATACCAGCTACAATTAGCACTGTAGTGCTATAAGAACACTATTTATTAAGTCAGGACAGTAGTTACTGTGGGGACCAGTGAGGAAAAGTAGCAGAGAGGAGCATGAGGAGAACTCTGAGATGCAGGTGATGTTCTAATTTCTGGCATGGATATGTTCAGTTTGTGATAATTCATTAAGCTGTACATTTCTGACATGTGCAACCTTCTATATGTATATTGTACTTCCATAAAATGTTTTAAAAAATATCTCCAAGAAGGGGCTGGGTTATGGCTCAGTGGTAGAGTGCTTGCCTTGCATGTGTGAGGTCCTGGGCTTTATCCTCAGTACCACATAAATAGTACCTTTTGACAGTTTCCAATATTTCATATTTATGCTTAATTCTTGTTTTGAGAACAAGTGTCATTAATGCATAGCAAAAAAGTGAAAGATCTCTATGAAGAAAGTAAACAAGCTGTACTAAAAGATGATGTCAATGTACACAGTTATCATGTTCAGAGATAAAATATTTCATTTAAAAAGTAGTAATTATCCCTAAATTTAACTTTAAAGTTAATGCAATTTCAATAAAAATTTTAAAAACCTGGAACTTAATAAATTGATTCTGAAATTCATCTAAAAGAACAAAAGCCTAAGAATATCCAGAGAAATCCTGAAGAAATATATGAAATGAAACAGGATCTTTCTTTACAAATGCAAGGGTTTACTAAAAATATAGAGCAATTAAAACAGCATGGCATTGGTATGGAAACAGATAGCATGACCAAAAATAGAGAGGCCCAAAATAGATGCATGCACATGAAGAACTTCTTATAGGACAGAGTGGCATAGCAACTCACCCGTTGTTACGGTTTGGATAAGAGGTGTCCCGCAAAAGCTCATATGTGAGACAATGCAAGAAGATTCAGAGAAGAATGATTGGGTTACCAGAGCATTGACCCAATCAGTGGATTAATCCTTTGATGTGATTAACTGGGTGGGTAACTGAAGGTGGATAGAGTGTGGCCAGATGAGGTGCCATTAGGGGTGTGGCTTTAGGGTATATATCTTGTATCTGGTGAGTGGAGACCCCTTTCTGTTTTCTGATCATCATGTGAGCCGCTTCTCTCTGCCACACTCTTCCACCATGATGTTCAGCCTCACCTTGAGCCAGAGGAATGGAGTCTGCTGTCTATGATTGTGACCTTTGATACTGTGAGCCCCCAAACAAACTCTTTTCCCTCTACAGTTGTGCTGGTTGGGTCTTTAAATAACAGCGATGAAAAAAGCTGACTAAAACACCCAAGAAAATAGGACTTGCTCAATACACGATGCTGGAAATACTGGCTGACCTTTAAGAGAAAAAGTAAAGAAAATGCATTCCTACCTTGGTGTACACACACACACACACACACACACACACACACACACACACCACTTCAGATGGATTAAGAATTTAAACATTAAAAGTGAAAATTTAAGTTGTACAAGAAAATATACTCTTTAAGATTTCATCTCACTTCAGTCAGAATGGCAGCTATTAAGAATACAAACAACAATAAGTGCTGGTGAGAATGTGGGGGAAAAGGAACACTCATACATTGCTGGTTGGACTGCAAATTGATGCAGCCAACATGGAAAGCAGTATGGAGATTCCTTGGAAAACTACCATTTACCCAGCTATCCCACTCCTCGGTCTATACCCAAAGGACTTAAAAATAGCATACCACAGGGACACAGCCACATCAATGTTTATAGCAGCACAATTCACAATAGCTAAATTATGGAACCAACCTAGATAACTTTCAGTAGATGAATGGATTAAAAAATGTGGTATTATACACAATGGAATATTACTGAGCAATAAAGGAGAATAAAATCATGGCATTTACAGGTAAATGGATGGAGTTGGAGAATAGAATACTAAATGAAGTTAGCCAATCCCCCCCCCAAAAAAAACAAATGCTGAATGTTTTCTCTGATAGAAGGAGGCTGATTAATAGTTGGGTTGGGAAGGGCAGCCTGGGAGGATTAGATGAACTCTAGATAGGACAAAGATATGGATGGACATCATTACCCTAAGTACACGTATGAAGACACGAATGGTGTGAATATACTTGTATACAACCAGAGATATGAAAAATTGTGCTCTACATGTGTAATATGAATTGTAATGCATTCTACTGTCATATATAACAAAGTAGAATAAAAATAAATAAAAAAGAAAATATAACTTGGGGCAGGAAAGAATCTTCAATATAATCATAATCATAATAAAAGATTAATGCATTCAATTACATTAAAATTAAAAACTTTTATTCATTAGGCAACATTAAAAGGAAAAGACTGATCACAATCAATAGAAGATATTTGATTTGTTAACTGACAAAGTTGTGTGTTATGTATAAATATTTATATATATATGTAAACATGTGTGTGTATGTATGTGTATATATATATATAATATATATATAATTCCCCACAAATCAATAAGGAAAATAAAGCAGCAACTTAATAGAAAAATAAGTGATTGAGGGGGATAGTAGAGGATAGGAAAGGCAGCAGAATACAACAGACACTAGTTTGGCAATATGTAAATCAGTGGATGTGTAACCGATGTGATTCTGCAATCTGTATACGGGGTAAAAATGGGAGTTCATAACCCACTTGAATCAAAGTGTGAAATATGATATGTCAAGAACTATGTAATGTTTTGAACAACCAAAAATAAAAATTAAAAAAAAAATAAGTGATTGACATGAGTAAGCATTTTATAGACGAGATAACACATATGGCCACCGAGTATAAAAAAGATGTTCAATCTCATTAGCAATCAGGAAAAAGAAGATCAAGATCACAATCAAATATATTTTGGGCAAAAATTAAGGAGTTTGACACAACTAAGCATGGAATGTGGACATGGATCACTGGAATTGCCCATATTTGCTTATGGAAATAAATTTGGTATACTACTTTGGAAAACAATCTGACATTATCCCATAAAGTTTAACATTCGTCTGCCCTCTGATCTTGCAATTGATTCCTGGGTCTACATATGAAAGAGACTTAAGTATATGTATAATAAGAAATATGTCCAAAGCTTTCAGTAGCAACATGGTTCATAATGATGAAAATATTAAAACACAATTGCCTATTGACAGGACAATGGATAGGTGAGTAGTGCTGAAGTCACACAGTGGGATTTACCCAGAATTGAAAGGGAATAAATAATTGCCTTTATGAATTAATCTCAGTAAAATGTTGAGGGAAAAGAACATGTTCCAAATGTAAATGTATAATATAATATAATAAACTTTTTGTAAAGTTAAAGAAGAAATAAGCTAGTAGCATATGCCTGTCTTCCTATCTTCTGAGAGGCTGAGGCAAGAGGACTGCTTGAGCCCAGGAGATGAAGGCCACTGGGAAACAGTGAGATCCCATCTCAAAATAAATAAATAAATAAATAAATAAACCTAATTATATATTTTAACACATATATACATATTATTGAATAGATATTTGTGTGTAATGAGACAATATGTATGCATGATTTCAGTTTTATAAATTTTTTAAAAGTGGGCTAGATGTAAAAAAGAATGACTTTATGACTTTTTCTGGTAAATGGATGGAGCTAGAGATTATCATGCTAAGTGCAATAAGCCAATCAAAAAAACCAGAAGGCCAAATGTTCTCTCTGATATGTGGATACTAACATACAGTAAGTAGGAGTAGGGGAGAATAGAAGTTCATTGAATTAGACAAAGGGGAATGAAGGGAAGGGAGCAGGGATGGGAATAGGAAAGACAGTAGAATGAATCAGACATAACTTTCCTATGTTCATATAGGAATATACCACCTGTGAAATTCCACATCATATACGACCACAAGAATGGGGTCCTAATTAGAATAAGTTATATTCCACATATGTATAATGTATCAAAATACACTCTACTGTCATGTTATCTAAAAAGAATAAATAAAAATTAAAAAAAATTTTCAAAAAAGTGGGCTAGGGACACAACTTAGTGATAGAGCACTTGTCATCATGAATGAGGCCCAATCCCCAGCAGTGCAAAAAATAAGTCTTACAAGAAAGTAAATTATACATGAGATTGACTATGATTATATCTGGATTGATACAGGCAGGTAGGAGAGGAGTATATAAGTAGTCATAGTTATGATAAGGTAAAATTTTAGGTATTAAGATGGGCAGCAGTTTTATTGGAGTTCATTATTCTTATTCTTTTTCTTTTGTTGTTATTGTTGCATGTTCTAGGAATGGAGCCCAGAGCCTGTACATGCTAGGCAAGTGCACTATCACTGATACATCCCCAGTTCTCATTAATTTCAAAATTAAAAAATAAAATAACCTAGGACAATATTTAGAGTAAAACCTAGCATATTGCATTGCACATAATAGACATCCAATAATCTTATTGTGCTGGAAGACAATATATTTTCCTTCTTTTTAGTTCACCCCCATTCTGCATTTCTTTCCCTAATCTCCATTCTTAGCCTCGCTGTCAAGACTATGGCATGAAACCAATTTGGGGCTTATTGCACCAGAGAAAAGAGAGAGCA